CTATCAATCTCGGGAAGTTTCATGGAGAGGTTCCATTCATCAGACCTAGCAACTTTTCTCTCCCAATTTTATCCTGCTCACCTCATTAAGTATGTACCCGACAGCCACACACTCTCACAATCTTGCTTTAAACAATGGCAGAAGTGCTTGCTGGTGCTAGGACTTTATGACAGTTATGCTGCCGACACCATTTTAAAAGCCCAGGTTCGCACCATTTCAAGCACTGCCAGGAAGGTCTGAAGTGACCACCTCCGTCCTTTTCTTTATTTCAAAAATATACTTTATCCATGAAAAATGTCCTTATATACATACATTGTCACCAGAGCAGTTTGGTTCTGTGTAACCTTTGTGTATGAAGTACAAACAAACATTGGAGTTTGACTTTCTCAGCAAACACAAAAGCATTTCTCACTTATGCAAGATACTATTTACATATATTTGAGACACAGGGAGGGTCTTCTTTTAATTTCAAAAATAAACTTTGCTCATATAAAAAAAACTTTGTATAAATATATTGTCACAAATGCAGGTCAGTTCTGTATAGTAGCATATCAAGTGAACAAACAAACGTTTGAGTTTGACTCTGTCCCGACAAACCAATGGCGTCTCTCATACACACAAGACTATATTTACATGCATTGAGGCACCAGGAGGGTCCAATAACTGAACAAACCCCCATTTAACTTCAGCAGGAAGGCCTCAGACAATGGTCTTCTCCACTGCACCTTGGCAGGAGCTGACCCAAGCTTTAGTACTTCCCTCAGTACGTAGTCCTGGACCAGTCTGCAACACTTGGTCAAGGTCAATTCTTTGTTCTGGAAGACCAAAGGGCTTCGGGCAGGCCAAAGAGCATCTTTCATCGAGTTGATGGTCCTCCAGGCGCAGTCGGTTTGTCTCGGTATGCATCCTGGGGAATAGACCGTAGAGCATGGAGTCCCGCTTCATCGAACTGCTCAGGAGGAACCTCGACAAAAGCCACTGCAACTTTCCCCGGACTTCCTTTGCAAAGGAAGGCACAGGGAGGGTCCTGTAACTAAACAGATCCCATTGTACTTTGGCACCATCTGCAAGTTCCATCCAAGCTGCACACTATCCTGACTGTGCCTCTTCATTGTCCCTGTGACTCGATTTTGAACCTAGAATCTTCTGACTCAGAGGTGAGAACACCATGAATTTAGCTAGAGCTGACACTATTAATATTGAACCACAAAATCTATTTTTACTTCTCCTAAAATGTTATGTTTTAGAAACTCAATATTTAAAGGTATTCTTTCATACAAACTTTTTTTGAAGAAAAATCACGAAAATACTCCCAATTTATTTTTTTAAAATTTGTTTCTGGGATGTGGCATTGCTGGTTTAACTAATGTTTATCATCCATCCTAATTGCCCTGGAGAAGCTGCCTCCGTGATATGCAGAAAGCAATTGTAAAGTCCTGCAATGCATGCAAACAAATCCCATTGTGAAAATAGTTATTTTGTAAAGGAATCTAGGGGCTATGAAGAATAGCAAACTGATAAAGCAAATGAATATAAAATCAGCTCTTTTGTCCAACTAATCACATTTTTAAGTTGTAAGATTCATAGTGTCCCAATAGACTTCTAACAAGCTCCCTATTTTATACTGTTGCTATTGTTATGATGCATTTTGTTATGATTACTGAATTGAAATTGTAACAGAATTCTGTTGTAACATTACAACTGAGATTTGCACTGACAGTAAGTAAAATGCTTTGAGATATATCCTTTCTTTCATTGTAGTGAGCTGTTAATAATTTTAGAAACTGAAGATGAAAAACGGTGCAGTGCCAATAAAATCTGAGGCCCGATAGAATATTTAAAGTGCCTATGAAACCTGATAAGCAGGTAAAATCTGAAAAATAGTTTATTCATTTTGGTTTCCGTTCTGATATAATCTGTCAGAAAAGTTATTCATGATGAGAGCATCTAAATTGGATATTTTTTGAGGGTCAGTAATGTCAAACTTATCTGTGAACCAACAGGGGAATCAAAATGTAGCTTACAAAATAAAGCATGCCAGTATGGGCCTGTAAAGAAACTCACAGAGTAAAAGGTTAATTCTTGATCATATGTGTAAGAAGCTATGTCAATGAAGATGTTATACTCACACAATGATAATGAGATGCTAGAGAAGTAACAGCAGCTTAGACCTCATGCAGAGTTGTAATGTAAATAGTTTGCAAGGTGTAAATAAACAATTGCTTTCAAAAAGACGAGTCCAGCCATATCTCTATCTTAGCACCACAAATAGTGTCGCCACCTCACAATAGCCGAAAATACATTTGTTCTTCTAACCATGAAGGCTGATTTTCACTTGGGAGTATTGGTATTAACAGTATTGAGGGCCTAAAAATGGAGATGGTGCCCAATTAAGCCTACTGGAGTCTTCATAATACACTCATGGGTGGCTGATCAGGCAAGTGACTACTTTTCTCTGAAAACTGGGGCCTAAGTACATTCCTTTTTAATATTTATTCATGCAATGTCAGCATCACTGGTTACATCTGATTTGTTGTCCATCCCTAATCATTCCTCATAAGGTGGTGGCAAACTGCCTTCTTGAATTGCTTCAGTCTACGTAGCGCAGATGCACCCACAGAACTGTTAGGAACGGAGTTCCAGGATTTTAATATTGAAGGAACAGCAACAAAGTTGTAATCAGAATAGTGTGTGGCTTGAAAGGAAATGTTCAGGTGGTGATGTTTTCATGCATCTACTGCCCTTGTTCTTCCACATGGTAATGTGGACAAGTTTGACGGATACTATCAAAGGAATCTTGGCAGTTGATTTCGTGTATCTTCTAAATTGTACGCTGTGTCCACTGGTAGAAGGAATGAATGTTTAAAATTGTGGATGAGAAATTGATCAAGTGGATTGTTTCATCCTGGATAATGTTGAGCTTTCAAATGTTTTGGGCCTACACTTACCAGGCAAGTGCAGAGTATTCCATCACACTCCTGACTTGTGACTCGTTGATGATAGTTAGGCTGTGGGGAGTCAGAAGATGAATTGATCAGAGTTTCCTGTCTCTGAACTACTTTTGTGATCATAATGTCCATATGGCTGGTTCAGTTATGTTTTCTGGTCTATCGTAGCAACCAGGGTATTAATGGTAATGAACTAGTGAACTCAGTGAAGCTGTTCAATTTCCAGGAACGGTGGTTAGATGCTTTCTTGTTAGAGATGGGCATTGCCTAGATGTTATGTGGTAGAATGTAACTTGTCATGTGTAACAGTAAGCCTGAATCTTATTCAGGTCTTGTTACATGTGAGCACAGACTGCTTCTCATCTGAGGAATTGTGAATAGAACTGAGCACCTCATTGGGTCTGGATTACAATGTTCAGAGGCATTTAGGGCTTGGAAAATTGTGTACTACCTAAAGGCCTACGTGAAATCCCAGATAGCTGATATTCTTAAAGAAAATGTGTGGAGGGCTATATCCAGATGCCTGTTGTAATAGGTATTCTGATCCTCTTTTCCTGAATGCCATGTGGAGCTGCCAGTTAGAATGACCACCAACCTTCTTAGTCAGGGGACTCCTCATAGTTACCTATTGTTGTTATGAAATGAAAGGGATACTTATAGCACAAAATATTATTTGATGGAATATCGAAATGAAACTCCATTGTTACAAACTGAAAAGGTTAAGGAAGTTATGTGTAAAATGTTGTTGAATTGTGGATCACAGCAGTGTGACTAGAAGTTGCCGGCTATCTGAAGTGGGTGTCTAACTGCCAGCTGACTGTAATCCTACAGCAGTTGACCACTTTGTAGCAGGGTGTGTACACGTACAATGCAGGGGGCAGGATTCAGTGCCAGACAATTGACATCAGGTGATTTTACTACAGGAGCCGGCGCTATTTTTAAGCAGCAGCCAAACCTCCTTCAAACCTTTGAGGCTCCTACAGTGTCTTCCCGAAAGTTGCAGAATCAGAGAGAGGAGCAGCTTCACTCAGAACACTCGAATATCAAAATACTGAGGTATCATCATGGAAGAGGGCATTTGAAAGATGAAATATCCATTCTGCACCCATAACAGGAGTGTAAAAATCAGACCTTGCATATCAGAAAGCTGAAGTAATGTCACAGGCTAGTCGGAGGATAAACCCATGGTTTGCAAATGCCTTTCTGTGTGACTTCCTCCAGGCATTGCAAATACTGTAAAACATTGTTCCCAGCTGATAATCACAAAAGGTGGCATGGTGGCTGGGTGGTTAACACTGCAGCCTCACAGCACCAGGGACCTGGGTTTGATTCCACCCTCGGGCGACTGTCTATGTGGAGTTTGACATTCTCTCCGTGTCTGTATGGGTTTCCGCCGGGTGCTCTGGTTTTACTCCCACAGTCCAAAGACGTACGGGTTAGGTGGATTGGCCGTGCTAAACCACCCAAGGAGTCCAGTGATGTGCATGCTAGGTGGATTGGCCATGGGAGATGCAGGGTTACAGGGAAGAGTTACAGTAAGGGAATGGGGCTGACTGGGATGCTCTTTAGAGGGTTGTGTGGACTCAATGGGCCGAATGGCCTGCTTCCACACTGTTGGGATTCTGTGTTACCTTTCTGGTTAACTAATGAGTCACGGACCAAGATCATAGTGGAGGTAAGCAATTGTGGGGCGCAGCCACTAGCCTGGGATAAGTGAGGGAAGAGGGTATATAACCTACTCCAAACTATGAAGGGGAACCAAGTGAAGGGAATATAAACTGAATAGTGAAAGAGGACTGAAGAGTCATTCAAATTGTAAGGGTTTAGATCGGCATTGTCATGCAACTTTGTCTTTTCACCAGCCACCTTATAAATACTGTATGTATATGTACCACAGACATTTGCATCTCACTCTGTTTCATTCATATCTCCAAGATTGGAAGGGGGAACTTTGATATGGTAGTCCATCATTGTACCAGAGATAAGTCTAATAGTAAGATGCTGGCCTCAGTTACATCTGGAGCCTAACTCACTCTCTCATTATGCTTGCAGGAGAACAGCAATTAAAGGGTAAAGATTGGTGAGAGGGATATTCATGCCAAGGCCCTGCCAATATGAAGGGACTGAAATTGGCCATAAAAGAGAGTGGTCGTTCCATTTAAGATGCAGAGATGGACATTGCATTTGAGGAGAAACAATGCTTTTCCATAAATTCTACCTGAAAAGGAAGCGTAATGTATTCGATATTGAAAAAGCTAATTGCATTTGTTATTTCTTTGCAAGTGGGACTGCAGCTATCATGAAAATTGCAATGTAAAAAAATACAGTGTTGGAGAAGGGTATACAGGGTTGAAGAGCTGGAGGTGACAAAGAAAGAAAGGGTGAACACATGGAGGGATTTGGTAAAAGGATGAGAATTTTTAAATTGAGGATTTGCTGGACTGGATCAGTGAGCACACCAGTGATGTCACTTGTTGCGGATTAGGATATGGACAGCAGAGTTTGGATGAGTTAAATCTTACAATTTCAAATTGCAATGTGAAAAATCCTTTTCCTTTGTAAATCAGGAGTTGAATAAATTAATTATAGCTGAGACCTGTCCTCGCTAAACAATTTTTGTATTTGTGGATACCAATAAAATGTAGAGGAATATGAAATATTTAATAGAAATGGAAAAGAAAGGATATAATTTTAATTTTTTGTTAACTCACCCTTGTTATAAATTTATGGCTGAAAGCTTCTAACATGCTGAGTGTAAATTTGCAGTTATGTGATAATGTAAAACAAGTGAAAGCCTTTTTTTCATATCTACTGGATTTTCTTTTTTTAAACATTGCTACAAAGAGCCATGATGTTGAAGCCTTTTGTTTTGACAAAAATGGAAGAAAACCAACTTTAGCAATGAAAGAACAACTTATGCAGAATGAGAAGAGGGCGATGATTGCTTATGGTTGGTATGGAGATGCAAACCAGGACTGACAAAGTGTTTTGGCCTGAAACATTGACTTTCCTGCTCCTTCGATGCTGTCCGACCTGCTGTGCTTTTCCAGCTTCACATCTATTGACACAGAATTTTAAGGGTTACTGAAGTGGGGATGTAACAGAGTGACTTAGAAATGCATGTCAATCAAAGCTATGGTGCGACTTTTTAAAGCCAAACCAGGCATAAATTGCAATTTCAAAGTCAGGAAGGAAAATCAAGTAGAGTGCACACAATGGCTGACTCCAATACCACTCTCCATCTCCTTGAAGTTGCAAGTTACAATGTTACTGAAGTCCAGCTGTGTATTGCTTGATATTGGGAAAACTCATTACATTCCAAATCTCTTATCTAAAGTGTGTGGAATAGAGTTGGGCAGATCAGAAACGTGGAAGATGGTATCATTAAAGTACAGCATGGGGGAGCTTGCTCAGATGAAACAGGCTAAATGGTATGATTTCAGCAGGATTCCTGTTTTTTTTTCTACCTGTCATTTATGGATTATAGTTAAAAACTACATGTTACAAATTTTGAGTGTGCTCTAGATATTCTGTTTGAGTCAACATTACTGATCTTTCCCAAAAGTGGACCATCTATTGCTTATATTGATAACAACAAGCTAAAGAGGAAAGATATTCAAGGCCATTGTGGAAGAGCAGAGAAGTGAACCTAATTGGACAGCTGTATCAAAGAACAGAATTGGTACAAAGAGCCAAATGAGCCATATAGTTTTATGATTCTATAGTAAGACTCTGTATTAAAAGAACTGGATATTGTAATCTTGCATTTTCCTCCATCTCTGCTCCTTCTACCTTCTGAAAATTAGGAGCATCACATTTTAATGAGGCGATTGTATAAAATCCAGAAGATGGTTTACAGATAACATGTATCGGAACAATTAATCAAATCTAGTCACATATAGTTCAAGTGTGGTCACTTCTATTTAGAAATATAACGTTGCTGGAATTTTGTGCATTAAACCTTAGGATCCAGGATTTGGTTAATTTGGTTAATTAAATAAATCAGGAATTCCTTCCAGGTGAAATGAATAGAAATATTAAAGTGTGAAATGGCATCAACTTAAGTCTCTTTAGGACAGTGAAATTAGATTTTATTTAAATTTATTCATTTACAAGGATCAAGGGTCAATTTATACTAATACACTTAAATATCACATTTCACAATAAATAGCAAATTCTCTATTGTTATTAATCGATTAAGCTAATTAACAATCTTCTGTAACCTGAAAAAGGAATAATAATTAATTATTCAAGTCAGCATTCTATTTTCTTTTAAGGTTATCATTTAGCAAGCAAATTAGTCCATTGGAAAGTAACATAAAAAAAAAATTAATTGGGGATCAGTGAGATGGGTGCCAAGTTTAATGGTTGTGTTTCTATCACTGCAATGCATAAGCATGTAGGTAGCTACCCAGTATTCAGCATTCAGAGTTCCCTCTTGACAACTTTGGCTGAAAGCTGGGTAAATACCTACATGCTTTTGGACATATATATGAACCATTGCCTCAAGCAACATCCTGGCTCTAGCGCTCCAGAAGAAGATGTAGCTTTTTCAAAGCTGATTCCAGTACCGTTACAACACAGTCATCAGCTTGACTAAGTTGAAGATTTTCTGGTTTGTCCTGCCTGCATAAAGCAGGATAAATGTATTCTAGCCAATTAAGCCCCTGTTAATCTATTCTTAATCATCAGAAAAGAGATGGGTAATACTGTCAAGTGTTAGCAAGCTGTATTAACTCCAACTCATCAATCTTCTCACCAATGCTTCAGTTTGTGTTAGGCCAGGACAATTCAGCTTCCTAAAGGTATTGTGGGTCAACCTACCGCATGTGTATTGATGTGGTTCAAGAAGGCAACTCACCGCCATCTTCTCAAGAGCAACTAGAGATGGTCAATAAATGCTGGCCCACCAGTAATGCCCACATCCCATGATTGAGTAAAAAGCACTCTGGACTTGTGCTTTGTAGCTGGTTAAAAAACTACAGCAAATCCAGAGTTAGTGATGATTGACAGACGACTGATGGGGCAGTAATTGGCCTGGGCAACTTTTGACATTGTCAGCAGATGTAAGTGTTGTAACTGTACTGGTACAGCTTGGCCAGTGGAGTGGCACATTCTGGAGCACAAGTCTTCAGTATTATTGCTGGAAAGCTGTCAGGGCCCATAGCCTTTGAAGTAGTCAGTGCCTCCAATCGTTTCTTGATATCACATTAAGTGAATTGAATTGGCTGAAGACTGATATCTTTAATGCTGTGGACCACTGGAGGAGGCTGAGATAGATCATCAGCTTGGCACTTCTGGCTGAAGATTGCTGCAAACGCTTCAGCCTTATCTTTTGCACTGACGTTTTTGGCCCTTCAATCATTGAGGATGGGGATATTTATGGAGCCTCTTCCTCCGGTGACATGTTTAATTGTCTACCAGCATTCACGATTGGATGCAGCAGGACTGCAGAGCTTAGATCTGATCAGTGGCTGTGGGATTGCTTAGCTCTGTCTATCACTTGCTGCTTATGCTCTTTGGCATGCAGCTAATTCTGTTTGGTAGCTGCACCAAGTTGACATCTCATTTGTAGGTATGCCTTGTGCTGCTCCTGGCATGCCCTCCTGCACCCTCCATTGAACCAGGGTTGATCCCCTGGCTTGATGGTAATGGATGAGTGGGGAATATGCCGGGCCATGAAGTTACAGATTGTGGTGGAATACAGTTCTGCTGCTGCTGATGGCCCACAGCGCCTCATGGATGCCCAATCTTGAGTTGCTAGTTCTATGCAAAGTCTGCCCCATTTAGCATGGTAACGGCACCAGACAACACAATGGAGGATATTGTCACTGTTAAGGCAGGTCTTTGTCTCCGTAAGGACTATGCTGTGGTCACTCTAACTGATACTGTCATGGACAGATGCAGTTACAGCTGGCAAATTGGTAAGGATAAATTCAAGTACGTTTTTCCCTCTTGTTGGTTCCCTCACCACCTGATGCAGACCCAGTCTAGCATCGATGTCCTTTAGGACCCGACCAGCTCGATCAATAGTACTGCTGCCGAGACACCCTTGGTGGTGGACATTGACATTCCTCATTTGTGCTCTTGGCATCCTCAGTGCTTCCTCTAATTGGTGTTAAACATGGAGGAGTACTGACAAGGATGGCAGATTTCCCTTCCTTGAAGGACATTCCATGAATAAAATGTTTTGTTTCCCAACAATCATTTCATGATCATCAATACATTCTTATTTCTTGAATGCTTTCTATTGAATTCAAATTCCACCATCTGCTGGGGAGGGTCTAGGCCCGAAACGTCAGCCTTCCTGCTCCTCTGATGCTGCTTGGCTTGCTGTGTTCAACCAGCTCTACACCTTGTTATGTCATCCACCATCTGCTGTGGTGGGATTTGAACCCAGATCCCAGAATATTACCTTAATTTTGTAGATTAATGGTTTAGCAATAATACCATTACACCATTGCCTTCCCTGAGTGACAGAATACTCTCCACTTGCTTGTATGAATGCACTCCCAAAACACCCAATGAGCTCAGCACTATCCTCCAAATCGGCAACACATTCACCACCCTAAACATTCAATCCCTCCACTATCAGTGCAATATTGCTACAAGATGGACTACATCTTTCTTCATCAGAGCTGGATCAAAATCCTGGAACTGCCCACCTAGTACGACTGTGGCAGTACCTCTAATACATGTACTGCAGCAATTCAATAGCAAAACATCATCACCCCCTTAAAAGACAAACGGGGTGTGGGGGCTGGGGTTTGGATAATCAATGGTAACAATGCCCAGACCAAATGATTAAACTGAATGAAAGAATATATTGTGACTTGTGTGTCAGTTAATTTCTAACATTCCATTTTCTTGCTTTGCACTCCTGTGAACTAAAACTACCCTTTGTTTTCACACTTTTCTGTTTTTAAATGTAACAATTTAAGCAACAACCATCTGCATCACTCAAAGTAAACTATTTTCCAAAGAAGGTGAGTCCTTCAGAATGCTGCAATATATAATTGTGAGTTGTAAAATCCCAGACAAAAAGTATTTTTCAGCAAAGTGAAAAGTGTTGCATTTATCATTATTGTTTGCAGTGTGCTACTCTTTGTGCAGCTTAAAAAAGTAATGATTTACTACAATTGCAAATGATACAAAGATACGCCAACAATCACCTGAAAAAAAATGAATAAATTGTTTTAATTGTGCATTTGCAGGTGAACAAATAACACAGAAGTTGACATTAAATAGCTATTTTCACAAAGTTGTTTGGAGAAATAGAAACCCTATAGGCAGCTAGAAGGTTAAGAAACCAATTTGGAATCTTTTGTAGATGATATTCTCTATTATGATATTAGTTTCAGATCTTCAGCCTATCTAATAAATGATTTCTACCTTCTCTTAGAGGGTATGGGCTGTAATGAAGAGAACTCTCTGTACTGGAACAGTTTTGTGAGAGATTAGCAATTTGTAGGATAAATTCATTAACAGGATGAGGGCGTCAC